ACAAGACAAGCTCTAGAAAGAAGGCATTTTACTTTGTACTCCACATTGTGCACTGTATGAACTAGTCTGATCTGTGCCCAAAGTATACTTGGGGGGGATACTCATCTAACTGTGACTCTGCTTTATGCAATACTAGTTTTAACCCTGAAATTTTGGCATAGCAGATGGGATGTCAGTATTGAGCATGGCATTAAATACAGGTTTTTTTGTGTTTCTTCCTCTCTCCTTCCCTGCAGGTGTCATTGCTGGAGGATTAGTAGGCCTGCTATTTGCAGTGTTCCTAGTTGGGTTTATGCTGTACAGAATGAAAAAGAAAGACGAAGGAAGCTATTCATTGGATGAACCAAAGCAGTCAAATGGAGGATACCAAAAACCACACAAACAAGAAGAATTCTATGCGTAAACACTGATATTCAGGACATCTAATTCGCCTTTTTTTTTTTTTTTTTTTCCCTTGGGCTCTCCTGTCCCTGCACACGGACCTCCTCCTGGTTTTCTGCATTAAACTCAAGCCATATGACCATTGGGTGCAACTCCCGCTACCTTGCCACTGGAAATTCAAACTACAAAATAGGTCTGGATTCACTGATCTCATCCTGCTTTCTTGCACAAAGATCTTTTTAAAGTAGGACTGCAAAGCTCCTAAACTTGCTTTGGTTTAGCTAAAGACTGCTGGGTGAAAGGAGATGAGGGAGAACTGCATGTATATAAACTGTTTGACGGTTAAAAAAAATGGCAGGACTAAACAGCTAACAAAGCTTGATCTCTGGTATAGAGAATTTCTTTCCATGTTTTAACTGACAAAACTCTGTATCTAGTATGATTGCCTGCATTTGGCAGGAAAGGTTGGTACCTTCCAGTTTTTTGGCTCTTTCTAGCTGCCGAAATGTATAGCACTTAATGGCCATAAGACACCAAACAGAAGATGACTACTGGTTAAGAGGAGGAGTGAAAGGACAGGGCAGGCTTATTTGGCTGCCACTGAATTAAGGAGTCTAATTTATACTTTTTTCTGAAAAGACCATTTTAACAGTTTCCCTAACTAGTTCCTTAAGTCGGTACACGTACTGGTACTTTTTATTGAGGGTTTAACTAGACAAAACTGCATGCTGTATACTGAAACAGAGCTTCCTTATCCTACTTAATCTTTCCAGGCTGGC